GTCCTGCCAGGAGCTCGGTTCTACGTGCCTCACGTCCCTCCCAGCTGCCCACACTGTCCTCGAAATTGTCGAGCAGGAGCCTGTCCGGGCATCTCGGGGCTGCTTGAGGGTGAGTGTGCATCGTCCTGGGTGACGATACACTCCAGACCTGTGGGTGTAGCCAGGGTCAGCGCCCTGTGCCTACTTAGGCCACAGACGGGAAGGGACTGGGTGCCCGGCTGGGTGCCACACGTCTGTGGTGCACGTGCAGGACGAGCTGTGCCATGATTAATGGGTCTCTGGAACTCATCAACGTGTGTAGGCCCAGGTGCGCTGGCCCAGGCACGTAGGCCCAGGTGCGGTGGCCCAGGGTGCAGGCCCAGGCACGCAGGCCCAGGTGTGCTGGCCCAGGCACGTAGGCCCAGGTGTGGTGGCCCAGGGGTGCAGGCCCAGGCACGCTGGCCCAGGTGTGGTGGCCCACGTGAGCTGGCCCAGGTGTGTAGGCCCAGGTGAGCTGGCCCAGGTGTGCAGGCCCAGGTGAGCTGGCCCAGGTGTGGTGGCCCACGTGAGCTGGCCCAGGTGTGTAGGCCCAGGTGTGCAGGCCCAGGTGTGCTGGCCCAGGTGTGCATGTGTCGGTGGCCTCGTGAGGGGTAAGGTGGCGAGGCAGGCATCAGCGAGGGCTCTTGTCCCCGAGGCAGCTGCTGGCACATCGGGTGGTGAAGCACAGAAGCACGAAGGCTGCGTGAGGCCGCAAAGGCACGCCGCCACCCTTCCTGCATGTCCCTGCGTCTCATGCGCTGCGTGGATGCACGTGTGGAGAGACCGATGGCACCGGCTCCAGGCCCCGGTGGGCGGGGACACGCTCGGCTGCAGGGAAGTCGTGTCGGATCTTGACAGAAGGCGCTATTGACACAGGGTCCGGCTTGGCGTCCCGAAGCTTGGCGTCCATGGCGTGTCCGCGGGTGAGCCCGCCCCAGCCCCCAGTCGCAGGCTGGCCTCTGCCACCTGGGTGCTTGGCTGCTGTCCCCAGGCTTTACCACACGAGTGGGGTGCAGGTGTCACCCCACAACAGCCCACAGTGTGGGGACAGCTCGCCGTGCAAGCTCCTGGATGACCATCCTCCCTGATTCTGACTAGTTCTTCATGCCGCCGACGAAAGGGACCGGTTTCTGTGTCACGTGCGTTTCAGCCACAGTGCCCCTGACTCTGGGACATTCTTTGGCTCTTGCTAAACTCACGAGCAGGCGGGAGGAGAGGCCCTTCTTCCTCTGGCAAGCTGTCCCATGGAGGGTCCCGTGGGACAGAGTGGGCAGGCGGCTCGCGGGAACAGCCGTGACACATCGTGTCCGGAATCAACACTGTCCCCGAACGCGGGGGTGTGCACGTGGGGTCTTGACGTGAGCCGGGACTGGCCAGATGCCATTCCTGTTGGAGGGAGGCACTTTGCTGAGGATGATGGTGTGAACGCCGACTCGTTCAGGTCGGGGCGCCTTGAAAAGGCCGAGACCCGCCTCCTCCAAGTGGAGGTGGTGTCTGACAGGGTGCTGTGGCCACACGCGGGTGCTCCGGCTGCCCCCTGGGGAGGACGGCCGGCGGCTCCAGCTCTGCTGCTTCGTCACCTCCTCTGTGACGCGCTACACTGCTGCCTCCTCGGGGCCTGCAGGCCACCCCCAGGATGTCCGACCTCGCGGACCAGGCCCACGCCGCCAGGTCCCAGAGCTGCAGAAGAAGCCTGCCAGCTGACGTGAGCCACAGGTTTGCGGGGGACGGAGGCAGGTGGGCGTGGGGCTGCAGCAGGTTCCCAGGCTCCCCGCTGCCCCGGGAGTTTGGGGTTCAGAAGAAAGCTGACTTTACCTCGGAGAGCCAGAGGGCAGTGGGGGAGTGGACAATTTTTAAAGAAGCTTTTTAGCGTCTGGATAAAACCGCCACTTAAAAAAAGTAAATGGAGCTGCTGGCCAGCAGAGATCATCTGAGCAGCACCCTCCCTCACGCCCCCCCAGGATGCTAGCGGAGGAGGCAGAATCCTCCCCAGCTCCCTCGCGGGGGTGGGGGGAAGGGAGGGAGGGAGGGGGAGGGAGAGACCCACCCGGGCTAGAGAAGAAAGGGACCCCAGGGGCCTCGGCCTCCGGGGCGTGGGGTGTCGTCTGAGGCCCGGAGGGCTGCGTGTTGGTGCCCACACGGGGTGGGAGGAAGAGACAGACCTTGCCGAAGGGGAGGGGAGCTTCGGCTGAGACCTGGCCTAGCTTGGGGACCGTCACAGGGCGGCCCTGCCCGAGGCTGGGCTGAAAGCACCCACGAGCTCCAAGGGGTGGCCGGGCGCCTCGTCCGTCTCTGCTCACCTGGGGGGCACGTTCTAAGGAGACTGTGAAGAGCCACGTCTGTGCCCCTCCCAAGTCTGCGTTTGAAATGGTGTGACCCCAACCTCTCGGCCAGGAGGCACTGCAAGCAGGTGGCCCAGAGGGCAGGGGCAGAGACGGGCACGGGAGAGAGCAGCACGTTGTCCTGACGGAGACACAGAAGAAGCAGTGGCTGGAGGGCGACAGCCATTCGCAATCGCTAAAAACCGTACACTCGGCAAACTTAGAGCTCAGGTAAATTCTTTAACCTGATGGAAGGAATCTATGAAACTCCTGTGGCGAGTGTGACACTTTATGGTGGAAGGAAGGAAGGAGGAACGAGGAAGGAGAGAAAGATGCTAAGCCTCGCAGGAGAGGGGGCCGCGGGCCGCGGGGGCCGGGGACGCGGCCGGCGTTTCCCGGATGTCGCCTTCGTGCCGGCGTTTTCCGGATGTCGCCTTCGTGCCGGGCGTGGCAAAGCGAAGGCAGCAATGGCACCCGAAAGCGCCGGTCGGGATCGAGACCCAGACATCGGGCCCCTGGACTAAACGCATCGAAAGTCGTGTGGAACCTTTTGGAGAAATGACGCGACTCCATTGAAAGACGTTTTGGAAAGTCCCGAGGAAATGCAGGCCCTCGCCCCGCTCCGGTCCGCAGGCGGAGGGACGCGGGTTCTCCCAGCCGACCCGCGAGGCCGGGGCCGTCCGTCCGGTCGGAAGCCCAGCAGCGTTGTCACCGCGCTGGACACGCCGGCGTAGAAGGGTACATGGCCCCCAACAGCCGAATTGGAAGGATGCTGAGGGGGTGCTGAGTCCTGCCCGGCATCGGGACACGGACGCGGGTACCTGACCGCACGGTGCGGCACGGGCGCGGGACGAAGGGGAGCCCAGCGCACGGACGGGCAGGTGAGGATGGCAAGCGAGGACGGCCACGCAGGGCCACCAGCCGGCCCCTCGCTGCGGAGGGTGCCCGCGGCTTCCCGCACGCACGAGGACCCCGTGCTTCTGGCTTGGGGCTGCGCAGGGCGTGAAGCCACGGCCGAGGGGGCCACGTGGCGCGTCTCCCTGACCCAGTGGCACCGGTCGGCCGGCCAGGCCTCCAGCCGGAAGCCCCGGAGGACCCGCCTCCTCTCAAGGGCCACCGCGTCGCTGGTGGTTCTCGGGGCTTGTGCTGGGCGCGGCCAGTTTGGCGGCCGAGCTCCCGGGCGTGGCTCTGCCCAGTGGCTCTGGGCTCGTTCGTCTGGTTCTTTCCTGTGCTCGCGTTCTCCGGAGTTTAATGGACACCGACGCCGTCTATCACCTCACCACTGAAAATAAAAAAGACCCTTGGGAGTCGAAGCCTCCCATTCATATCGCGGGTCACCTTACAGCCGCACGACACCCAGGGGCATCCTCCAGCAGGAAGAGGGCCACAGGGGTCTCGCGGCAGGGCAGCCGGCACCGCCGTGTCCCTCACTTGTCCTTTCCCCCGACCAGCCCCTGTGAGGTCCCCTCTGTGTGTGCCCAGGAGAGCTGTCAGGACAGGCGGGCAGCTCCCGCCCCCACCGAGGGCGGCGTCACGCGGCCTCCCCGTTGCTCGGGGCTGGGCGGTCGGAAGCCGCCGTCTGGGTGGCATCTGCACGCACAGGGAGCTCCGCGATCTGCCACAGGCAGCTGGTCCCTCCCCCTGGACGTGGTCACAGCGTGCTGAATTCCATCTGAGAAACCCGGGCCGAGTCTGCTGAGTCACAGAGCCGACCCACGAGCCGCCCGGACCTGCCCAGCGGCCCTGTCAGGTGAGAGGGGCAGCTGCCGGCTTCTTCCCTGGCCGCTCGGGGGCTTTGCTGTTGAGGGGCGGACCGAGGTCTGCTGCTCAGCTCCGTTCCACCCGAATGGCTGTCTATATTTAGAACACCGGCACACGCAGCCGGGGGGCGTGCAGGATGTCACTCAGTGAGCAGCAGCTCCTCCGAGGGCGGTTCTGGGGGCTCTCCGCGTCCGGGGCGGCACTCGGGGGCTGGGCCGCTCCCTCCAGGCAGCCCCTCCTCTCCGACTCGCTGCTTCGTCATTGCACATTCCAAGCTGGAGCTGGTACGGGTGGCCCAGCAGGGTGGGGAGGGTGCTCGGCTGGGATGGCACTTAGCTGGGTGTGGCAGGCGCCCGGAGCTGGGAGCAGCAGGCGGCCCCCACCGGCTCCCCGATTCCCAGTGGGAGTGGGCCGATGGGTGGGGCCGCCCGGGCCTCCTTGTTTGCGCCAGGGGCCGTCCATCCCCCAGCGGCCCGAGGCAGGATGGCGTCGTCTCTTTAACACTGAATCGAGAATCGCAGTCTGTCCATTGACACCGCTCTTTACTCAAGGGACGCGGGAGTTTAGGGACAGAACAGCTCGTTGGCTGTCCCCAACACTTCACTCTGAAGGACGCGGTTGCCATTGCATCGTGCCTCGGTTTCTCCAGTCGTTCAGGGACGGCGGGCGGTGGGGCTGGCCGGTTGTGGGAAGGGCCGTCGGTAAAGCATCCTCTGCGGGTCGCGGTGACCCCGAGCTCAGCACAGACAGCACAGCGGCCGGCGGGCGGGCGCCTGCTCGGGGCGCTGACCGCGCCGGCTCCGCGCCGGGAAACGAGAACAAGCAGGATTTTCTTATTTTTCATTCAAACCAAGGTCAGAGTCGCAGATTGGAGAATATTCTAGTAGATCTAAGCCTTTGGACAGACCAGTAGGGAAATGGGACTCGGTTCCCCAGGGTGCGTGTGATGGGAAAGGAAGCCAGGCCGACGCGGGACCTGGCTCGTCCCCACAGCGTCACGAGTGGCAGGCCAGCCTGTCTCGGTCCCCTGGGGACTGGCAGTGGGTGCAGACCTACCTCGTAGACGGCCGTCCCTTCATCCTTAAGGCCGAGGGTAGGTGGCTGTGTGCATTTGTGTCTAGTGTCTTTTCCTTGACTGGCGACTTCAGGGCACACTCAAGCATAAGTGACACACTGGGGTGCAGAGCACGTGAGCTCCCACTAGGACGCAGCAGCCCCTCGGAGACTGACCGTCGAGGTCCTGTGGGGCGGCGTGTGGACAGCTGGCGTCCCCCGGCTCGGGAGCTGTCCGGGAAGCGAGGCTGCCCTTCAGTCCCGCCAACGGGAACTGGCTGCTCCAGAGGGTGACTTCGTGGAGGTTCATACTGGCCACGGCCTCGGGGAGCCGGGACCCCCGCTCAGGACTGATGCCACCCTCAGGGTTCCCGCTGCCTCCTGTTTGCAGACACACGGCCAGATGCAGCACGTGGAGATGTGACTTTGCCATTCGGAGCCCGAAACGGCCCTCTTTGGCACAGGGGTTGAGAGCCCAGGGCACGGCCACAGAGACCGCACTTGCTCAAAACGCCACCCCGGTCTCCCTCCGAACCTCGTGGGGCCGCCGGTCCAGCACCCGAGGGGTGCTCTGAGCGGGTGAGCCGCGTGCCCAGGCCACCTTCCCACAGAGGCTCCAGCCCAGAGTGGACTGTGCTCATCCCGCCTGCGTCCTTCCTGGCTTAGAGCTTGCGACACTTTACAACATCTCAGGAAGTGACGTCAGGACACACCTGTGGCTGGCACTTTCCAGGCGGGCACGCTGACCGGGGTATCCTAGGAAACGGCACCAGTGACAGGGGGGAGTAGGCTCAGGAGAAGCCTGGCCTCCAGGCGCAGCCAGCTGCAGCCCGGCAGAGGGCAGAGACCGTGCCCCGTGTGGGACGGAGGTGGGACCCCAGGGAGGTCGTGAGCCTCGGGCTGAGCATCCCGGCAGATTCCGTCGCCTCTGTGCCTACCGTGCAGGCGGTTTTGAGGTTGGAGCACCGAGCTGGTCTAACGCGTGACATGGGGTGAGAAGGACCCCCCCCCCCAGGCGGCATTTTCCACATGCGGCGAGTGAGCTGACGGCAACTCGCTCAGAACCCTGCCTTCCTCGGCGGCTGGGTGGCCCGGATCGCCTTGACTTTGAAGAACCACCTGAGTGCCCTGTGGGTGCTGGGCCGGCTGAGGGCTCAGCAGCCGGGGTGAGGGTCAAGGTGGTGTCTGGGTGCCTTGACTGCTTTTCCTCTGGAGGGTCAAGTATCTGGGTTACGTCCCCAAGTCCCCACTGCCTGCTGTTTGATGCCCAGAGCAGACACAGCCTTCTCCAGAGGGTGGATGGAGGGGGTTGGAGCGGGAAGGACGCGGGGACCCCCGGCTACGCTCAGGTCCCCAGACAGACGATTCATGGACTCATGAACTCCGATCAGGCAGAGCCAGCGATGGGACCGACGTCCACAGCCAGCTTCCGGTGGGGCAGCTGGCACACACTCCCCCCCACCCCCGCGTTTCATCACAAAGAGAACTGGCTCGTACCACGCTCTGGTCTCAGGGCGGAAAAAGATGGGACCAAGGCCAGAGGACCGCCTGGTGGCGGTCAGCAGAATGAGGGGCGACGCGGGGTCGGGGTCGGAGCGCCCGGTGCTGAGGCTGCTTTTGGGTCTTCGCTGCACGTCCCTGGGCGTGCTCCCTCTGCATCCAGAGTAACCCCTTCGGGCCGGTACCCAGGTATGAAACTCGTAGGTTAAAAGTCAGCAGCACTTGGAAGGATTTTAAGGACACGTTGTCACGTATTTCTCCACAGAACCAGACCGGCGAACCGTCTCACCCGTGAGGCCGAAAGCAGTCAACCGAGTATGTCACTGACGGCTTTGAAGCCTCCCTTTTGAATGGCAGGATGCGATGAGTCTCGACATTTCTGCACACCCGCGAAGCCATCTCTCCACTCGAGGGGGTGGGCGCGCCCATCACGTCTGACGTTTGCTTTCCTCGCTCTCTGCGGTCCTTCCTTCCCACGCCCCCCACGCCCCCCCCGCCCCCGCCCGGACCCGCATCCCCAGGCCACCGCAGACCCGCTTCTGTCTCCGTGGATTAGCGTGCGTTTTCCGGCATCGCACCTGAGCGCAGTCATAAGCACGCTGTCATTCCCAGCTTTATCGCCGCCCGGACCGGGGGTCAGACTCTGTTCTGCTCCGTGGAGCAGCGGGTCCCCCCGGTTCGCTTATCCGCGCACCCGGTCGGTGGATTTGGGGTTGCTTCCAGCGCTTTTGCTGTTAGAAATCAAGCCGCTGTGAACATCCGTGCACCTGTCCCCACACGGACACGCGCCTTCATTTCCCGGGGAGAACACCTGGGCCGAGTCACGGGGCGGGTGGGTGTCTAACTTTCCAAGAAACTGACAGCGTTTTCCGAAGCCCTCGCCAGCGGCTGGTACCGCCCGTCTTTGCTGTTGGAACAGGTGCGTGGTGGCATCGCCTGGTCCCTAGCCGACAGTTCCCTGGTGGACCCTGACGTTAGAACCTTCCATACGCTCGTGTGCTCTCTGTGCACTTTCTTTGGTGACGGGACTTTCAAATCTGTTGCTCATTTTTTAATGGGGTTGTTTGCCTTTGTAGTATTGAATTTCGAGAGTTTTAATATAGACGTTCTGGATATAAGATCTCGTCAGATGTGCATTTAGCAAATACGGTCTCCCAGGCCGCGGCTTGCCTCTTCATTTTCTTGACAGTATCTTTCAAAGACAAGACACTTGAAATTTTTATGAAGTCCAATTTGTCGATATTTTCTTACGTGGTTTTATTTCCTTCTTTTTTTTTTCCTTTTTTTTTTTGTCCTTTCTAAGAAGTTTTCCTAATCCAAGATCAGGAAGATTCTACCTACGTTTTTACCTAGAAATTCTACAGCTTCGTGTTTCACGTCGGCTCCATGATCCATTTCTGCTTGCTTTCTGAGTGTGCCTTGCCGTCTCGGTTGAATGGTGGCTTTTTGTTTGTTTTGGCATCGAGGTGCGTGATCGTTCCAGCACCCTTTGTTCAAAAGACTGTCTTTTCTCCACTGAATGCGCTTGGATCCTTTGTCGGATGTCAGTGGACCAAGCAATACCTGGCTCTATTTCTGACCTGCCCCATGGTCCAGCCGCCTGGGCAGGGACATCGCCCTGCTGATGACTGCAGCTGCGTCGTGACCTAGACGTCAGGGAGGGATTCCAGCTCC